TCCTCCTGCCTAAGCCTCCCAAGTGCTAGGATTACAGGCGTGTGCTGGCTTATTTATTCTTAAACATGGCAAATTTAACTGAATTTCTAATCATTTTTTCCCCAACACTCACCCATTTAATAAATATACCAAAGACTTAAGACACAACTACTCAGCGGGTCCACATTCAAGCAGAGGAAATGCCCAGTTCTGTCAGCCGTGGAGGTGTGGAAGTCGTCGAGTTTGATTGTGAACTATTTCAGGCCTTGTCCTGCGATCTCCCTAGTGATGCTCCTGCTTCAGAGTCTATGTGTAATGAATGAGCCTCGGGCCTGAGGCTTAGAGTAAGCTGAACCCTGTTTTTCTACACCGGTCGCCGTGCTTTTCAAAGACTTGGAAACTCATAAGTAAATATACAGCTGTGTTTTATTGGGTTTTCCCTGAAGGCGGCATCTGACATCTAATGGTTCTTGGTGCTAAGTCCTTGTGTGTCTCACCGAGATGCTCCAGACCCGGGTTCATCCCTTGTTCCAGTGTAGTAATTTTTCACCCTCTTCTGTTTTTTAGAACCTAGTTTATAGTTTTGTTTGTATTAGTTTTTTTTTTAATTTAAAATTTTTCATTAAACAAGCTTGATTTTTAAAGCAACTGTTAATTATACAACATGAAGAACTTTTATTTCTTATGCTTGTTCCTTTTGTTATACAATCAGTTTCTGAAGACACTTTTCTGGTTTGCTTCAGAAATTTTGAAAAACTACGGTGCTGAAAAGTACGGACCTCATTCCGTTTGTCTGATTCAGAAATCGGCGTTTGTCATGGAGAAGTGTGAGAGGAAGCTGAGTTACCCGGACTGGGGGAGCGGATGCTACCAGGTGGACCATGTTGGTTAATAGTAGACTTTCATATATATGTCATTTGTTTCAGATAATTTACCGATTGATACTGTATGTAATTATTAGTGTGAGAGGCTGTGTTTTATGAAAACCGCTTCATTGAGAAAAAATTGCCATTTTCCATTTGTTTGAACATATGTAATATTTATGAGTTTCAGAATAATTTTACTGCTGGGCACATGCCCTATGGAAATACCAGCAAATATGTAATTTTGTTCTTGAACAAATACCACTTTGTAATAGAAAAACGATTTTGTTTCTGAAGGTCTGAGAAAAGCATGGATTGTAAGAATTAATAAACCACGGGATGTGGTGATGTACATCTGTAGTCCCAGCACTTAGGAGGCTGATGCAGGAGGATCACAGCGGGTTCAAGGACTGGCTACATACCAAGATTCTGTCTCAAAAATAAAAATAATAATAATAAACCATCTGCTTATTAATAGTAGTTTTTTAGATGGGGATGTGGTCTTTTTAAGATTTTCTAAAAATTGTTTTATTTTGAGACAGGGTCTTGCTATGTTTCCTAGGCTAGTCTCAAATTGTTGATCCTGCCCCAGCCTCCCAGAGCTCTGGAATTACAGGCATGCACCACCACACCTGGCCTTTTTTTCCCCCAATGCTGTGGTGCTGGGGATGGAACCCAAGGCCTTGCGTTTGCTAGGCAATCCCAGAGCCACTGAGGTACCTCCCCAGCCCTCGAGTAGTACTTTTCACGGGCCGAAGTCTGTTTCCATTATCAGTACTTTAAGTTTCTCGTGATTGTAGAGCGGGGCATCATTTTAAAGTATTGTCATTCACAGTCAGTTCCTTGTTATACATTGACTTGTTCATTTTTCACCATTACATGAGTGTTTCCAGGGTTG